AATGTCTGCCTTGCACGCGCCAACCTGGGTTTGATCTCTAGTATCCTATATGGGCCCCCAAGAGCCACCAGGAATAATTCCCTGAGTGTAGAGCCAGGAGTAAGCCCTGAACACTGCTGTATGTGTGCCCCCTGACCCCCACCTCCCAAAAACAATTCCTTTCTGTCAAACCCTGCAATTATGTGCTATCCCAAAGTAAAAATCCAAAGGCACTAAAATTTCTACAAACCTCTCCATAACTCCCTTCTCACTGTTTACTTACTCTCTGATCGTATCTACTCTGTTTGCATTTCACTGATTATTCCAGGCACACTTCTGTTCCCATCACTCTTTTCCTCTTCAAGTCTTGAGTCTTCCTTGATCCCACTGTATATAAAACATCAACCTCCCACTGCTAGATCAGTTAAAAGATATGTACTTCCCCATCTCACAAAAATGGACTTCACCATGGGGACCAGAGAGGTAGAACAGTGGGTAAGAAATTATCTTGCATGCAGCCAATGTAGATTAGATCCTGATACAGCATAGCTCCCCCGAATCCTGCCAGGAGTGATCCCTAAGTGCAAAGCCAGGAGTAACCACTGAGCATCACTGAGAGTGGCCCAACAAAACAAAACAATACAAAAAAAAACAAACAACAACAAATATGGACTCCAACTTTTAAGCAAAATACATTATCTGTCACCTTCACATTTTTCTTGTTGACCCCAGCTCACATACATATATACTTGTAAGAAACTGAAGTTTTGATGAAGACTAATTTTGTTTCTGGCTTTTCATTTCAATATCTCCAGCATCTGAAAAAGCCATAACATACAGCAAGTGCTCAAAAAGTATATATTGTATGAAAAGAAGGAAAAAAATAGCATAGTGTCAGTAGGTACTTAGCTGAAACTGTTTGTGGTATAATGTAGCTATTTACATATATAGAACCTTATAGTGAATTTATTCTCATTTACTACTTAGATTTCTGCTGAGAACTATTAACCAAAATAGTGCTTATAAAATCAGCTTGGAGCACACAAAAAACCTTTAACTTATTAGCAATTTATGTTTATAATAAGTTTACTTAAGTTATTTAGAACAGCCTTTGTAATGATCTAGTATTGATGGATAGAATCTTAAACCATTAGCAAGCAATGACCTCCTATCTACCCATTTCCTTCCACTACAGTTTCTAATCTTTTCTCTTTGCCAGGGAGTAAGTTTAATATCTAGCTTCTTAAACTTCAGGTTAGGATTCCACAGGGAGTCATATGAGTTTTAAAATTTTTGTTTTAAAATAAAAATTTTTATGATTATCAGTAAATGTTTAACTGGTATGCTTATTTTATATACCTATATACCAAGGGCTACATAAAATGTTTTCAAGGGAGAAGGAGTTTTGAGTGGAAAAAGCTTAAGAAGCCCGGATTCAATACCTACCTCTAAGTCCCTACCCAAAGGTAATGCCAGAAATAGATACTAGAAGTGTTATAAAGAGGTACTGAGATGGCTGGTAGCAAATCAGTGGAGAGTCCAGGCAAAGGAAATTACTGTAGAGGAACCTAGAGAGGGCAACAATTCTATGCAAATACTTACAAATTTGAAGCACTTAGTATATCCTGATGGGGGAAGCAGGTGCACTAGATGTTGTTAGGGATAGAATCCAGAACCTCAAAGTCTCAAGAAGACAGCAAGGCATGTGCTCTACCATAAGTTGTATGTCCAAATCTTCCCTGTATTTTAAAAGGAGGTCAACACAAAATAAAACCAACTCCCTCCCTGCCCTCTTTTTAAAACATAAAATCTGGGATGGAGAAATAGTTGAGGGATTAAGGTGCTTGCCTTGCATCTTGCACACCTTGGCTCAAATTTCTAGCACCACATATGGTCCCCAGAGCACCACCAGAGGTCACAACCTGAGCACAACAGGAATAGCTCCTAAGCAGTGCTGGGTATGCCCCCTCCATGTATAATTAAATATATAGCACAGTGGTAGGGCGTTTGCCTTGCACGCAGCCAACAGGGCTGACCCGAGTTCGACTCTTCTGCCCCTCTCAGAGAGCCTGGCAAGCTACTGAGAGTATCTTGCCCGCTACCCGTGACATATTCAACATGCCAAAAACAGTAACAACAAGTCTCACAATGGAGACGTTACTGGGCCTGCTCAAGCAAATAAATGAACAACAGGAGGGCAGTGACAGTGACTATACTTTTAAATATTTATAAATTTATCTATTTATATATATTATAATTAAATATGTGTATATATATGCATATATATGTATATGTATAAAGCTGAGGGACTGGAAGATAAGTAGAGCATGCTAGGTATGTACCCGACCTAGTTATGATTCCTGGGACCATATAGTTCCCCAAGCATGACTGGTGTAGCCCTGGAGGCCTCCAGCACCGCCTGGATTTCCAGGGTATCACTGGATCTACCACAAGGCTTGAGCACCACAGCATCTTCGAGCCAAGCTCTTGCACTGAACCTTATTCTTGGACCAGTTGGCCAAGAATCATCAGTGGGGGCCTCGGATCTCCTAAGCATCACTTGGGAGGAGGCCTCCAAAATATATATAACATATAAATATATATTGCTGAAAGATAGCATGATACTTTATATAGTTCTTCAAGCAAACACTTTAACTTTTTACTTAACTAAGATTTCAATCATAAAATACAGTTTAGGAGAAAAAAGTAATGAATGATAAAATATTCACCACCGAGTTGTGTCAAATCTTAAATCTACCTAATGTACTTCAGATTTATTTAAGACTTTTATTATTCTAATTTGGTACTGATCCTTCCCAATGAGTTTCCATACTTGGATGTATATTCCACAACTCCCAGAACATACATTACAAAGTTTGACATGTTTCAAAACTATATAAATGAAATATTTTACCTTGGTTCTGTCACCAGTTACTTGACCTTAGACAAGTGGTTAACACCTTTCTGACTCATTCTGTCTTTAAAATAAGGTTATTACTATCTACAATCTTACAAAATTATAAGGAACAAAAAGTTGGCATACAATATAGAGGTCATTTAGAAAAACATCATATATTGATGTACAGACTAATGTACACAGTGTTAGGATCATATAAAATTGCTAAAGGATTATGTATCTGTAGATACTGTGAGGAAAGATTACCAAAATGATGTATAGCTATCAAAACTTGAAGAATTTTAAGTGCTAGCTATAAAGGGTAAAAAGTCTATTTTTCAACTAACAAATTTTAGGTGTATTAAATTTGAATGTGAGTTTTTAAAATTTAATTTGTAACTACTTACAAATACCGAAGAGAGGAATGGGAGAAAGGGGTTATTTACTCAGACCCCGACTGTTGTAGGTGGAACTTTACATTTCATACAAAAAAATTATTTGATACACAAATTTCATTACTTAACAAGTTTTAAAGTAGCTGTAAGCTGAGCAAATTATTTGTGAAAGAATTCACCTAGATAATAAGAATATAAACAATTAGATTTTGCAAAATTTATCAATGCAATTATGAACACACAATTGTTTCCACATAGGATAATAGTCTGTAAGTAAAAAAATTCAGAAAACAGCAAAATTTAAATGCTTTATTTTATATGAACTCTAGTCTATTTTTAAAAAGAACTTAAATATACCTAACATCTTGATGTCCAACTTAGCAAATTCACACATCCAGTAGATACCATTTACCGAGTTAGATATTTTACACAGGATTTGTTCTTTATTTCATATATCTTCAGGAAAAAACTTAAGAGGCCACCAAATTTTGTTTTAACACTGTAATTCTAGGCAGAATTAAAAATTACTACTACAAAGATACTTAAACCGGCAAAGCATGTAAAATGCAGAGGAGTTGTGCAAATGATATCCAGGTAACAGCGGTGAAACATTTGTTTTCTCCACTTAGGCTGATATTTCCTCCAAGTTTAAAAGGCTGACTGCAAGTAACAATGACATATAACGAACGGCAAGGATCCAACTATTCTCCCCTCCCCAACCCCTTAAAAAAAAAAAAAACCACGGAGTCCAGGAATGTAACCAGGGAAAGAGAAGATAAGGAAAAGTTGGAAAGTACATTTGACTTTTCTTTTGCAGCAAGAGAACTCGGAAACGGACCCACTGCTTCGGTTTCATTTGCCCCCAGCCGACAACCCCACGTAAAATATCTACATTCGAGAAGTGTCCGTCCTTGACCCTGGTGCAGCAGAAGATTCGGTGGGAAACTAAGCTAGAACTGGCGTAGACCAAAAGCGGGAAGCCTGGCCCCTCCGTTCTCCTTGTGGGCCGGGACAAGTACCCTCGCACCACTCACCCCACACTCTGCACCCTGCCCAAGCCACACGTCGCACCTGCCACAACGGGACGCTGAGAGCAACGAAGGTGCAACTTTTCGGAAGACGAGCTGGGGGAAGCAAACGAAAGATTAAGTTCTGGAGTACCAGAAGGGCGCAGAGAAAGGTGCTCCCGGGAGCAGCTGCAGGAGCGCTGGGGCCGTCTCCCCTGCCTGCCGGAGGCTCCCAGCCCGGCTGGCTCCGGCGCCCCACGAAAGCAGTCCGTTCCGCTCGGCCGGCCTGTGACCTGGGCCCAGGCGGGCGGTGTTTACACCTGTCACGAGGGACGGGGAGGGAGAAAGAGGAAGCCCCAGCACAGCCCCAAACTTCTCCACAGCGACCCGGAGGGAGCGGCCGGCGCGGAGGCGCGCGGGCAGGGCGAGCCTCCAGCGGCCGGGGAGGTGGGGACGGCCCCCGCTGCCGCCGCCGCCGCTGCCCGGGAGGGCGAGGAGGGGGCCGCGCGCTTCGGGCGCCGCCGGCGTCCCCGCACCGCCGCGGAAGAGGGCAGAGCCCGAGCCCAGAGTCCGCAGGCCCGGACGGGCGGCTCCGTGCCCGCGATCGCCAGCTCCGCGGCAGGCAGGTGCCCGCGGCCGGCGAGTGCCGAAGCGGCGGTCCGCACCGGCCGCCCGCACCCTGGTCCCCCGGCGCGCCTGGGGGAGCGCAGCGGTGGCGCTTACCTGGCTCGTGCGGGGCGGCCGCGATGGGCATGGCTCAGGGGCCCGGGGAGGAACTGGCTCCCCGGGGAAGGACCGGCTATTCCGACGCGAAGCAGGCGGGAGCGGAAGGCAGGCGGCTCACAGCCGTGTCAGCCACGCAGCGCCATGGATGCCCACCCGGAGTTTCAGCGTTGCCGCGGGACCCCCATCCCACTACCCTCCGCCCTCTTCCGCCGCCGCCGCCGCCGCCTCCACCTCCTCCTCCGCGGAGACCCCCCGCCCACTCCACACACTTTCCCATCATGCAGCGGGAGAACCGCTGCCGCCGAACGTCACTTCCGGGCGCAGGTGGCTAGGTCGGGGCCGGGCGCTGGTGGGTGCTGGAGGCTGGGGGAGGACACTCTTGGGGAATTGGTGTCACTGAACACTTACCCCTGCGCAGGCGCCGTCGCGCGGAGCGCCGGTCGCCATGTTGGGTGAGGGCAAGCTGCCCTTTTCTTATCACTTCCTCGCCAGTCATTGGGTTGAGGGGGAGGAGGAAGGGGGAAGACGTCCTCCCGCACCCGGCGCCCGGCTTAGGCGGCGCTCCCGGCGAGGGGACAGGTGCTGCTGGTCCCCTTAACGGGGACTTTCCGCTGCAGACTCTCACTCTGGCTCTCCAGATGAAATTGGGAAGGCTGAAATACAGAACCTTAGCAGCTTGCACGACCAAAACACCTACTGGCGAGCGCTTGTCCTTTTCGCCCCAATGAACGACTTTTCCTGTTCACAGTCTGAGTCTCCTCCTCATTTTAATTTGAGTTGACAAGAGTTTATATCCCACCAATAACAAAGATAGCGTTAGAAATCGAATTTAAGGGGGGAAGCAAGAGAGAAATCAGCCGCCGAACTAACAAATCGTCTTCCAGAACACCAAAAAAAAAAATTAAATAAATAAAATAATAACAATTGGGGGTTTTACTGTCGAATGGAGACGGGGGGGCGCGTTTTTCGTAGATATTGTGGGAAGAGTACTTGATGAAACTAAAGAAATCAAATTAACTGCTGCATTTCTCATAATTGATTTATCAAATCCTGAGCAGCTGATTAGGTGCGTTTTAATAACTCTCCCCTCTCTCCCCTATCATGAATATCACACCAGCCACTGTGAAAATCAGCCTACAGAGCTGCAAGGATTATTGTCATCCTGGGGATAATGAATCTTGCGCTGCAAATGATGAACCCCGCCGGTGCTCTTTCTGTTCACATCTCTCAAACCTGCTCCGGTAACATGAATAATTTAAAATAGTTCCAAAACAGCAAAGCTTAGTAGCTATGCAGAGAAACTAGGATAGAAAACACCCACTCAGCCACAAGAAGTGTCCACCCCTTTGAGTGGGGAAATTACACAAATCAGGGGAAAGATAAGGACAAAAGCAGTTCATCACGGTTTATCCCGCCTCTGCAATGTTCCAGACAAATTGACTCGGAGAGCTAAAATAAACCCGCATTCGACTTTTTAAAACTCAATCGCTGTAAGATATACGAAGACTGCATCATTTGAAACTGGAGTGCCAATTGCTTTGTGATGCTCTTTTTTGTTGTTGTTGTTATTTCTCAATCACTAGAGCGAGAAAAATCTATTTGTGCCTGTCAAATTTATTCCTATTGTATTTCGCCCCCTGCTGGTTTAGCTCCAGCGCAAGCTTGAATGTGTGTGATATAAATGATATATATGATATATGTATACACATATGGTACCCTAAGCTTTTGTTGACTAGGAAGGAAATAAAGATACTGTGTGCATGCAGAGAAATTGGAAATGAATTCATTTTAAACAAATGCACACTTTAATTTGATAGTTCTACTAAACAGAAATATTACAAGAAGTAGAATATATGACAAAATATTAAGGCAGACCCTACACCAAGAGATTGTTGGAACTGAAATAATGAATGTAAACATCAAAACATTATTTAAAAACCCTCTGATTTCTAAAAAGATAAATCTTGATTATATACATAACATGATTATAAATTGGTTTTTATCAGGTAAATATAGAAGTTAATTCTGTTCACTTGAAAATAATTCACAAATCAGCATCGAACTTTGTATACAAAAATCAAGTAGCTTTTTGCTGTGAATTATCTTATGAGTGCAATCAACCCAAGTTGTTAATTGGTAAAATCGTACAGATAATTCTGGAGTCAACATTTCAATGCTTATAAAATTATACTACAAAAGTCAAGTCTTTGAATGTTTCTAAGACAATGAATTGTATTAAAATGGATACTTATTAAAGTTTATTCGGTTCCAGTGATAGTATTTTAATATTTATCTGAAAGATTATAACCATGTCTATATTATCTAAGATTTGGGTCAAGGAAAGAAAAATAAATGAGAAGTTATCATTTGATTTTTTTCTAATATTTTTCTCCTGTGCAATTTTTTTTGCAAAGTTGTCATCTAATCTGAATATACTGTGAAAACTTTTATCCCGCCTAATATTTTATCAGTATTCTCTTATCAATGAACATTTAATAAAACCTTAATTTTTATCATTTACATAGTATCAAGTGAAGTGAGCATGCCATGATTGATTTACTTCTCTTTAAGTGTGTATTTTTCTATTGCAAATAATTTTTGATGAACATTTTGTGCATGTGGCTTTATCTGATTAAGAAATTATTTCTCACAAGGGCCAGGAGGATTGGTCCACAGTTGAAAGCTTGCCTTAAGTGGTGGGGAGAGAAGGCAGTTGAGATAGAGAAGAAACTACTATGACAATGATAGTTGGAAATGATCACTTTGGATAAGAACTGTGTGCTGAAAAGTAGGTAAAGGAGCAAACACGATAACCTCTCAGTACTCTATTGCAAACCATAATGCTGAGAGAGAAAGAGGGTGGGGGAGGGGGAGAAAGTGCCTGCCATTGATGCATTCTGGGGAGGGAGAAGCCACAGGAGGAAAACTGGGGACATTGGTGGGAAATGTGCATTGGTTGTGGGATGGGTGTTGGAACATTGTATGACTGAAATTCAATCATGAACAACTTTGTAACTTCGTATCTCACAGTGATTCAATAAAAAGAAAAAATAGAATAAATAAAAACAGAAAGAAAGAGGGGCTGGAGTGAGCACAGCGGGTAGGGCATTTGCATTGCATGCAGCCGACCCAGGTTCGATTCCCAGCATCCCATATGGTCCCCTGAGCACCGCCAGGGATAATTCCTGAGTGCAGAGCCAGGAGTGGATCGCCGGGTATGACCCAAAAAGCAAAAAAAAAAAAAAAAAAAAAAAAATAGAAAGAAAGAAAAAAACTATCTCAGTATATAATTACTACTGAGTCAAAGGATATCAATTTTTTACTGGTACTTACAGACTGGACTAATATAGTCAAAATCATGAGGGCTGGTATGTACTAGATCAGTAAACACTCAAGAGGACTTACCCTAATTGCAATATTTTATATTTGTAAGAAAATCTAAAGCAAATTTAACAAATTGTGTGCGTTGTTTCCTTTTTATTTTCTAGCTTTCTTGAGAGGTAAATGAAAAATTTTAAATAGTATGTATATATATGTATATGGTATACACTTTATGATTTTGATTAAACCCTATTTATTTAAAGGGTAAGTTTTTATTTATTATGGAATTCTATGACACCTTATGCATTCATTTTTTCCAAAGATTAAAGATTGTTTTTCCAGGGAAAGATAGTTTAAAATTATCAATTGTGAACAACATCCTAGAGACTGTTCCTGATGTATTACACTAATTTAGTATCTTTCTTTGACTTGTATAACTTTTCAAAATGCTTCCAAGTATATTATTGTTCTGATTCTCAAAAAAATCCCTTAGAGTCAAATCATCTTGTGGAAGAACATGTGATCATAGATTTTGGGATTTGTTCAAGATTTTTAATTTTGTTATAAAATTAGTATTAGGATTCATACTCTTTCCCTCTGTGTCATTTGGTTTTCTAAATCGACAGAATAGTAATATAGTAGTCCTCCCTTTTTTTTTCCCCATAGGAAAGGACTATTTGCCTCCTTTCACTATTTAATATGTTATCCTCATTTTCCTCAAATTTGAATTATTTTCTTCTCACATATTTTCTTCTTATAATGAGTGTGATACATAAATAGAACAAGCTTCACTATGACTTCAAATATTCTATATATAGGATTTAAGTTATTTAAAAATATGCTGAAAAAGTTTCAACAACCTTAGAAATAATTTAGTTTAAAATAGAGCTTAAGGTGTTTGCTTTGCTCACATTCAACCCAGGTTTGTTCCCAGGCACAATATATTGTCCTCTGAGCACTATCAAAAGTGATCTCTGAGCACAGAACTGAAAGTAAGCCCTGAGTACAGCTGGGTAAGACCACCCCCCCAATTTTTTAAAAATTGTTTCTTCCCTACCACCACCCCTCCAATTTTACAGATAAAGTTAATCTTGTCCAAAGAGTTTAAATGACAACCATGCCCTCAGTCACCTGATTGGTTTATAGAAAAATTGTTGCTAGGAGCCAAGTTTCATGTTCCTCAGCATAACTGTTTTTGTTTAGTGGGTTGTTGTTGTTGTTGTTGTTGTTGTTGTTGTTTAACATGTAACTGTAGCACTGTCCTCCCATTGTTCATCGATTTGCTCCAGCGGGGTAGCGGGCACATCTTACAACAAATTGTGAGACTTGTTGTTACTGTTTTTGCATATCGAATACATCGCGGTAGCTTGCCAGGCTTTGCTGTGCAGGCAAGATACTCTCAATAGCTTGCCAGGCTCTCCGAGAGGGGCAGAGGAATCAAACCCGTGTCATCCATTTCATTTCATTTTTCATCATCCTGTTATTCATCGATTGCCTCGAGCAGGCCCCAGTAACGTCTCTTTCATCCTAGCCCTGAGATTATATTCAAGGCTATTTAGGAGAATGAGACCCATCATTGTTACTGGTATTTGGCATATTTAGTACGCCATGGGGAGTTTGCCAGACTCTGCCCTGTGGGCAGGCTACATTAGATAGCCTGCGAGTTTGTCCAAAATAGGAATGAGACAATAAGATATCATAAAAAAATTTTTTGATAAGATGTCGCGCGGCCGCAAATGCAGCCGCGCGGTTCCGGGATCTGGATTTTATAGTCTCTGAGTCTTGGCTGCTGATGGGATTACACGGCGCCAGGGGGCCAGGTGGTGGGTGTGACCCCCGCCTACTGGAATTTGGAGGATCTGGGTGGAAGATGCTCGACTCCAATTCGAGTAGGCTTGGAGGTCTCGGCCCCGGAACCTGCGTGGCT